CCATCTTGTTGATATCACCTGCTTTCTGTTTTTGTTTTTGGTTTGGTTTGGTTTGTTTTTTTTGTCTTTTTTGAGACAAGGTCTCACTTTGTAGTTCACACTGGCTTGAGCTCACTTTGTAGCCCAGGCTGGTATTGAACTTGCAACAATCCTCCTGCCTCAGCCTCCTGAGTGCTGGGATTACAGGTGTGCGCCACCACATCTGGTGTGTTTTTAATAGATACTATTTGCACCCATATGTCACCATGTGATTGTATAGTGCAGTCCTTTTAGTATAGTCAGTATATTTGCAGTATGCTTTGTATTCACAATTGTGTAAGCATGACCATAACGAACTTTGGAGCATTTATCATTCCAGAAAGAATCCCCTTACCCCTTAGCAGATACTCTCCATTTCCCCCTCCCAGCCCCAGGCAAGCACTAATTTCCTTCTTATTTTCATAGATTTACCTTTTCTGGATATTTTATATAGATGGGATCATCCTGTACATGATCTTTATGTGTGTGTGTGTGTGTGTGTGCGCGCGTGCACGCACGTTTCAGGTAGCATTGGAAATTGTACCTTGAACTAGGGGCTTTGCACTGAGCTACATCCCTGGCCCTTTTTATTTTGAGACAGAATCTCAAAAAAATCACTAAGCTACCCAGGCTGGGTTCATACATGCGATTCTCCTGTCTCAACCTCGCAGAGTGCTGAAATTACAGGTGTGTGCCACCTCACCTAGTTATGTTTGATCTTTTATGATCTTCTTCCTTCTCAGCTTCACATTTTTAAGGTTCATCCATGTGGTAGTATGACTCTACGTGGTTCCTTTTCAGGCTGAGTAGCATGCTATTGTATGGCTGCCTCATGATTTATTTATTCTTTTGTCACTTCATAAATTTTGTTTTTTCTGCTTTCTGACTGTTCTGTACACTGATCCAGTGAACACATGTATACAGTCTTTTTCTTTTTTCTTTTCTTTTCTTTTTTTTTTTTCTTGAGGTAAGGCCTGCATTATGTAGCGTGGGCTGGCCTTAAACTTGCTTATGTAGCCCTGGCTGGCCTCAAACTCATGGCGATCCTCCTGCCTCAGCCTCCCAAGTGCTGGGATTACAGTTGTGCACCACCACACCTGGTTGGCAGGCTGTTTTGAAGGCAATAGCACCGTTTAACACCTGCCTTATCCTTGCCAAGTCTTGTTATTGTCTTAAAATTCTTCATTAGTGTCATACTAGTGGTGCTGTCCTGCTGGTACTGTGATTGGATAACAGCACTGGACATCTTTGCCTGTGCTTTCTGCCCCCATGTACATTTTTGGAGGACTTAAAGTACTTTGCCCATTGCGAAATTGTTTTTTTTTAAGCCAGTTTGTAAGAGTTACTTATTTTCTTGATACAGATCCCTGATCAGATACATGACTTGTAGATATTTTTTGAGGTAGAACTGCTCTTTCTGTTTTTTGTGATGCTAGCTATTGAATTCAGGGCTTTTGCACTGAGCTACGATTCCAGTCCATTATTTACTTATTTATTTTATTCTGAGTCACTTAGTTGTGCAGGCAGAGCTTGGACTTGTGACCCTCCTGCTTTAGCTTCCCAGAATGCTGGGATTGTAGGCTTGTGCTACCAGTTCCTGCTTTTAGAATTCATTATATCCTGTTTTCACACACACATGTTCTGTGGTCTAGTGCTCTGCTTTCCTCCCAGAGATGCATGCTTGCTTTCTCTCTCTCTCGTTCTTTTTTTTTCCTTCTTTTTTTCTTTCTTTCTTTTGCTAGGTTTTGCTGTCTACAGTCATTCAGTCTTGCTTTGAATTCACTGTGTAGCCTCCTGAGTGCTGGGATTAGATGAGTGATTCCATCCCTGGCCAGGAGATGCTCTTTTTTAGTTGTTGGTCTGAGGATTGAACCCAGGGCCCTGTACATGCTCGGCAGGTGCTCTACCACTGAGCTATATCCCTAGCTATGTAAAACTTTGTACTTCTAGACATACCTTGGTAAGTTGCCCAGGCTGGCCCTGAACTTGCTTTTCTCCCACCTCAGCCCCCAGGTAGTCGGGATTATATAGGTGTTTGCCATCACATCTGGTTGATGCTCTGGTTTTTATTCTTAAAAATTGAATAGTATCAGGTAGTCACTCAGTAAATGTCTCTTGAGCCACACTCCCAGGAGTCTGCATGCATCAGAGAACAAAGCAGACCATCTCCCTGCCTGGTAGAGCTGTGTTCTTGGGCCTCATTCTGGGCTTCTCAGGTGTTCTTCATGCTGTGCCCGCCAGGTCCTGGGCCGTAGCTGTGTCTAGCCTGTGCCTGCCAGCCAGATGCTCAATAGCTGCTTGCCAGGTGGACAGACACCAGAGAGCCTTGTTCATCACTGCACTCCCAGAGCAGTGCTCAGTGCGTGCTTGTGGTTTATTGATGGGGACCTTCCTAATCCTGAAGGAGCCTGTGTAATAGTTATATAATTTACGGGGGAAGGAGCTGGGTTCCCAGATGACTTGGAGAACTGGGCCCTGAAGAGCTGAGGTCTGCACTCACATGTGCTATTAAAACACTGGGGACTTGCGCACACACACACACACACACACACATACTCAAACAGAAATGTGCACACATACACAAATACACACATTCATACACTTGTATACATATACAAATACATGTGCACACACTCAGATATATTTGTATGTATAAAAATACACACGCATATACACTCAGATACACTCATCCACAGTTACACACAAATGCACCCAAGCGCACATTCAGATTCACTCCAGTATAGTCATACATACACAAACACATGCACACACATTCAAATGTGATCTCTCTATGCACACAAGTATACATAAGCACATACATTCAAATACACACATGCATACCGATCTGTACACAAATACCCATGTATATACACAAATACACACTCATACACCCCTACACACATACTTGGGTGTACCGAGGAATATGCATGCACTTTTACACATCCTGATGTGCAGAGGCATACACATGCACACATGTTGGCACAAGCTGTGTGTGCGAGTGGCTCTGCCGTGGTGTCATGTGGATTCCGGTCCCAGCAGAAGCAGGTGCCTGTGCCCTTGTGCTGGCCCTGCCTGCACTCCTGGAGAGATCATTGCATAGAGCGTGGCAGGAAACTGCAGCAGGGCGTCCTGAGGCCTCTGGTATCCCCCTTGCAGCTTTCCTTCATTTTCTTCTTAAGCTGCAAGGGCAGGTAGCACAGCCACTTTGTAAGTCCTGCAGTGCTGAATCCTTTGCACAGAACTGAGGCACCATGTGCTTTAGAATGTTGCCAGCGCTGCATGGGAGAGCTGCTTTAAGAACGACCTGCAGTGGTACCAGTGACCACTGCAGACCATCAGGGGAACAGAAAAGGGAACCTCGTTGTGCTCACAGCAGTGCTGACCAGAGTACTCTCTTCTCCCCTCCACTGTGTTCATTTTACCTGTGAAGACTGTTTTTGTGTTTGTTTTGTTTTCTTAGTAGTACTAGGCATTGAGCCCAGGGCTTTTGCATTGAGTGACATCTCCGACCACTTTTTTGTATTTTTATTTTGACGCAAGGTCTTACTAAGTCGCCCAGGCTTGGGATAAACTTGTGATCCTCCTGCTTCAACCTCTTTTTTTTTTTTTTTTTTTTTTCGTAGTTTTGAGACAGGGTCTCGCTATGCAGTTCAGGCTGAACTTGAGCTCACTTTGTAGCCCAGGCTGCTCTTGAACTCGCAGTGATGCTCCTGCCTCAGCCTCCCAAGTGCTGGGATTACAGACGTGTTCTACCATGCCTGGCTTTTTTCTTTTCTTTTCTTTTTTTTTTTTTTGGTACCGGGAATCAGGTACTCAGGACCTTGCGCTTGCCAGGCAGGCACTTATGCCACTGTGCTATATCCCTAGCCAGCCTTCTTGAGTGCTGGGAATACAGGTGTTCATCACTATCATACCCAGCAAAGCAGTTTTTCTATTTAGATTTTTCCCTGTACCAAAAGCCAAACTGACTTTTATTTATTTATTTTGGTCTTTTTTGAGACAGGGTCTCACTATGCAGTTCAGGCTGGCCTTGAGCTCACTTTATAGCCCAGGCTGGTCTTGAACTCACAACGATCCTCCTGCCTCAGCCTCCTGAGTGCTGGGATTACAGGCGTGCGCCATCATGCCCAGCCAAACTGACTTTTAATCTTCATTTCCTTGTGTGCTTGTTTTATCTTGTGGCAAGTAATTAGGCAATAGATCTCTCTGTGGCCTTTCCCTGTTTTGTGCTTTGTGACTGGTGTGGGAGTGACATCTCCATAAGGAGGTTGTATTACTAGTTTTTGGTTTGTAGGAGTCCCAGCTGTAAGCATATAGAGAGTTTTCCCCCCTAGTACTAGAGATTTAACCCAGGGCCTTTATGCTGAGTTTTATCAACAGCCCTTTTTAAATTTTAAGGCAGGATCTTGGTGCTAAGTTGCCCAGCCTGAGCTCCAACTCATGATCCTTCCTCAGCTTCCCACAGTGCTGGAATTTTTTTCCAGATTAACATGTCATTTGGCCTTTGAAAACAGTGCATGTTAATTGTAGAGACACTGGGATATACAGAAATTACACCCTTTTGTTTGAACCTCTTCTTGGCCCTATCAAAAGAGTCTTTTTGTTTTAAATTTCATTTTCTCCTAGTACATGCTTGTAGTGCAGAATGATTCCATTCCCTATGTGGAGACAGACTCTAATTTGGACATAATCTATAAATATTTCACATTGTCTGCTGACCCTCACGTCGGAGACCAGACTTGACTTGGTCAGACGAATGTGAAATGTGTGGATGTACAGCAGGTGAAGGCTCCTGGTAGTGGGTGAATTTTCCAGCAGGGGATGCACCTGCTGCTCTGACTCTGTGGCTGGTGAGTGAGGGTCCCTGGTCCCGTGGGGTCTGGCTTCAAGGGCCAGTGTCCATGTGCTGAGCTGGTGCAGGGCGTGGCGAGACTGAATCCCAAGCAGCCACCTTTACCCGGCGTGTGTCTTCTCTCCTACAGGCTCTCCAGTGCTCCCGGTCATTGAGTGGGGGGACCCAGACCCCAGGTCAATGCAGATGCCGCAGGGCAACCCGCTGCTGCTGCCCTATACCTTGCAGGAGCTGCTGGCCAGGGACAGCGTGCAGGTGGAGCTCATTCCGGAGAAGAAGGGGCTCTTCCTGAAGCATGTGGAGTACGAGGTGTCCAGCCAGGTAGTGGCCGGCTGTGTGCAGCTGTGGGGGTGGTGGGAGTGGACCAGGCTGGGGTGGTAGGAGGGGAGAAGGTCTGTGCCCCTGGATCAGAGGTATGGCCCATGCCCAGGGGACACAGCCAGCCTGCAGCACAGACTTTGGATCCCTTCATCTGGGATTGGCTAGCGCCAGCCCCGCTACATGGTCCAGTCTACCTCGCCTCCATTGTACGCTGAGATCCTATGTCTTGGGAGTCTATTTGTGGTTTTTTTTGAGACTGGGTCTTGCTATGAAGTTCAGGTTGGCCTTGAATTCACTATATAGTCCAGGCTGGCCTTGAACTCACAGTGATCCTCCTGCCTCAGCCCCCTGAATGCTGGAATTATAGGTATGTGCCACCATGCCTGGCTTTCTTTTGCACTATTTGGGATTGAATTTAGGGCCTTCACCTGAGCTATATACCCAGCCCCTTTTTCAATTTTGAGATAGGGTCTTGATAAATCACTAGGGTACCTAGGCTGGGCTTGTGATCCTCTTGCCTCAGCCTCCCAGAGTGCTGGGATTACAGGTGTGCAACATTACCTCTGGCTGCACAGAGTGATAGAGCCTATGATTAAACCATTCTAAGGCTTGTGGGTGCTGCTGTCAAGAGAGGGAGGTGGAGGTTCAGGGAGCTCACTCCAAGATCGCCTTAGGGATGGCACAGCTGTCAGGCATCATGTGGTTCTCACCTTCTCCTGTCGGTTGGGGCCCTGGACACAGGCTGGTGTGGGGTCCAGGTTGGAGAGCACCAGCCCTTGCTCCAGGCCTGACCTCCTGAGGGTGGGAAGCTGTTGCTGTCCATGTGAGCCGGCCTTTCTCCTAGCTTTAGGCTGCCTGCTCCTTAAGTAGGTTGGTGCCTGGTGTGAATGTATAGGAGGAGGGTGTGCCTAGGCCACCTGAGTGGACTCTCCCCCTGCTCTCAGGGACCTGTGGGCAGCCTGCTGGGTGCAGGTTTCCTCATGTAGGTCCCTGCTTGTTGTAAGTTCTGAACACAGGCAGGCATGATGTGGATGTGGCCTGGGTAGAGGTGGATATTCTTGCCTTAGTATTTTGTATCCCTGTTGCTTTTTTTTTTCTTTTTTTGGTGGCAGTATTGGGGATTGGATTCAGGGCCCTCACAATGCGGTACGTCCCAGCCCTTCCTATTTTTAATATTGAAACAGGGTCTCACTAAGTTGCTGAGTTGTCCAGGATGGGCTCAAACTTGGAATCTCCTGCCTCAGCCTCCCAGAGTGTGGGATCACAGGCATTCACCACCATACTTGGCTGAGCTTTATTTTTTTCCCCAGATTTTTTTTTTCCTGGGGATTAAATCTGAGGCCTCACACCTACTGGGCAGTATATTTAGTTTTGAGACTCCTACTCATGCATGTCTCTTGTGTCCAGTCTTAGAGCAGACGCTGTTAGGTTACTCTAGTGAACCTGGTGCTCGCTCATGTCCTGACCTGGTGGCCGTGCAGTATCTGCTGTTGCAGTCACTCACTGTTGAGACTCGGTTGGTGCTTGGGTGGCGGCTCACATGTTTGGCAGTGGGGAGTGATGCTGGCAGTGTGGTCAGCAAGGCGGAGAATGCATGACCGTTCTGCGCTGGCCTTGGAGGGGAGGGCAGGGCCTCCCGAGGGCGGAACAGCGCCCCGAGGAGTCTTGTCAGGACAGAGCCATCCGGACATTAGCAGCTCTATATTGGAAGCGAAGGATTCTAAGATTGGTCCTTCTGGCCAAGGCCTGGCGAGAGAGGATGAGGAACTGGGGCACAGAGGAGGGCTCACGGGTGCTGTGCAGTGGCAGGAGGGAGGGGAAGGGATGCTGAAAGGCTGTGATATCCAGGCTGAGCACTGGACCTCTTCTCACAGCGTTTCAAGACCTCCGTGTGCCGTCGGTACAATGACTTCGTCGTCTTCCATGAAATGCTGCTGCACAAGTTCCCGTACCGCATGGTGCCGGCCCTTCCACCCAAGAGAGTGCTGGGAGGTAAGCAGGTTTGCGGGGCCCAGATGTGGGCGGGGCTGAGCCAGCCATTGCATGGCTCAGTGATGGACCCCAGTGCAGATGGGACATTGCTCTTGCCCTGATTCTTTTTTTTTTTTTTTTTTTTTTTTTGGTCTCTTTGAGACAGGTTCTCACTATGCAGTTCAGGCTAGCCTTGAGCTCACTTTGTAGCCCAGGTTGGCCCCGAACTCACAAGGATCCTCCTGCCTCAGCCTCCCTAGTGCTGAAATTATAGGCGTGCACCACCATGCCCATTGCCCTGATTCCTGAATGGAGCTGGCTAACCCCTTGGCCATCACAGTTACTGCTGTGGCTGAGACCCAGTCACTCTTGCCCCCCAGAGCCTTCTGGTTACACCACTGACATGTAGGGAGGCCCAGGCCCTCTTTGTCCCAGTGTGAGAGAAGAAACCCAGTCTCTCCAGGGCCAGGACCAGGCCCATCAGAGCTCCCGGGAGGGTGGCCAGACCCCATTTGCTTGTGTGACTGCAGTTGGTTCTTGTGCTTTCACAAAGTCCTGAGCCCCCAAGGAGTGGGTGCTGAGATACATTGGGTGGACTGGAAGAGGACAGGTGCAGATGTTAGTGGAAATCCAAGCTCCATGTTATAGGCCACCATATGTTCTGCAGATGGCCACCATATGTTCCTTGTGGCATTGGAAAATTACACTGGGAAAGTGGGAAGTCGTGGGCAGCCTGCAGACCCCTGGACTGGCCTGTTCCTCACAGGGTTCCAGAGCACAGGATCTCACTGGTTTTCCCTCTTATAACATTTTCTCTAAATCCAAATAAACTTGGGGGAAGGCCAGTGCCCGAAGTCAGCCAGCTCACTTTCTGTCATTTTCCAGCCATCTCGAAGCAGCTGTGTACTTGAGGGGGCAAAACTTGACAATTCTCCATGGTCCAATATCTAGCATTCTGAATTCTCTTACTATGGGCATAACTACTCTTGCTGGCCGCCAAGGAGCTCAAAGTCTGATAACAAGGTATTTTCCCTGCCCTACCTGCACACTGTGGGACAGGCTGCTGTAGCCCTCATGGTGCCGGTACAATGCTAAGACTGGTGAGAGCAGAAGCTGGATGGACAAAGTGATGTTGTTTACACCCCATATTGCAGTCAGCTGGTTAATCGCATGTACCGTTGTCATCCTGGGACCCGGAATTTATCTAAGTGCAGCCTGGACACAGCACAACTTCTGGTCTTGAGGAGGGGTGTGGCTTCATCTGACTGTATTTTTCAATAACTTACAATATTTTAAAGACTGTTTCTGTTTGTGGTTAGTTTTGAAGACCCTTAATGCATCAAGACACTTTTCCTGGAAGTGAAACTATTTCCCCCAAATAACAGCAGTTCATAATTAGATCAAGCCAGGTGTGGTGGTGCATGCCTGTAATCCCAGCACTCTGGAGGCTGAGGCAGGAGGATCTTTGTGAGTTTGAGACCAGCCTAGGCTACAAAGTGAGCTCAAGGCCAGCCTGAACTGCACAGTGAGACCCTGTCTCAAAAAAAAAAAAACAAAGAAAAAAGGAATTATAGACAATGGCTTCAATGTAGATGGTCAGAGTGATGAATCAGACTTGATTCCCAAAAGCCAGGAACAGTGGTGGACTCCTGTAGGCCAGTTATTTGCGAGGCTGAGGCAGGAAAAGCACTTGAGCTAAGGAGTTTGGGGCTATCCTGAAAATATAGTGAGACATTTCTGAAGACAAACAAAAACACAGATGAAACGTGGATCCCAGTAGTCTGTTTTTGTGTGTTTGTATGGTAATGGGGATTGAACCCAGGGGTCTGCCCATGTTAGGCAAGCACTCTACCACTGACCTGTGTCCCCAGGCCTCCTCTGCCTTTGAGACATTGGTCACCAAGTCTCTAAATTGCCTCAGATGGACTGAACTTTTGGTCCTGCTGCCTTAGCCTTCCAGAGTTCTGGGATTATAAGTGCACCACTGGGGCTGGCTCCTTTTTTATTTTGTGATGGGATCTCTTTAAGTTGCCCAGTGTTGCCTCAAACTTGCAGTCCTCCTTCCTCAACCTCCTGAGGAAGTGGGATTACGGGTGTTCTGCCACCAAGCCCAGCCCAGTAGTCTTGACTGAAATTGATCTCAGCTCTCCTTGGGAGCTCCTGAACCCTCTGATGATAAGCAGGGGGCCTGAAGTGGGGCTGTGCTGCTCCTTAGTCCCCCGCAGTGTCTGTTGTATGGGTATGGCCTGTCTGGTGCCCTGGCCAGCCACAGGGTTGTGCTGACCTTGGTGCTGAGGTGCTCTCAGTGAGGCCGACTATATGGTGACCCTGTGTCCTTCTTCAGCTGACAGGGAATTCATCGAGGGCCGGAGGAGAGCCCTGAAGCGCTTCATCAACCTGGTGGCCAGGCACCCCCCGTTCTCTGAGGATACCACCCTCAAGCTGTTCCTCTCATTCAGTGGCCCAGTAAGTGTCCCTGGCCTGTGGTGGGCCCTGTGTGGGCTGGGTTCTCAGGTTCCTGGGGTTCATTCTCCTTCTTGAGTCTTCTTTCCTTTTCCCTCTCCTCCTGCCTTGCTCCTGTTTGGACTCCTGGAAAGAGCTTGTGATTCACAGTGCATGGTTTCCTTCCTTTCTAAGTGGGCGCATAATGGCGGCTTGGCTATGATTTTCAAAGGCATCCTTGGTTCTGACAGTGGAGGATTTCATGTATGATGTGGAATCGTGTGCTCGTTTTGGGGGTTTAGAGTTGATATACAGAGAGCGGATGGTTTGGAGGGTCTGGATGAACTAGAGACTGCAGATGTGAGTAACTATTTACTGAAAGAAGAAAAATGGCCCTTTTGACTGAGAACCATTGAAGAAAGAGCTGAGCTGTCTCAGCAGAGCTGGGATGCAGATCCCTGTCTGGGAAATGTTGTCCTCACGCACATTTGCCAGGAGTTAGATCAGCAGTTCCTTTCCTCATGCTGCTGTCCACTGCCTAGTGGAGCCAAGAGCTGAAGCCGGGCTCTCATTCCCAGTGTGTGTGTGGGGATTGCCAGCCCTTTCAGGCAGGGACATTCTGGGATGGAGCCTTTCTCCTGCCAGGGTTGGGTACAGAAGGGGAGTCCCCAGCGGGCGGGGAAACACTGGGTTCTCCTGTTGTAGGACCACTTCTTGGTTGGGCACTAGGGTCAGCTGTACACCACCCTTTACCAGGCTTATAGGGCAGGGGTTCCAGGACACAGCAGAGTCCACTAGGCTCCCCTCAACATATTGCCAGGCTGCAGGATGGGATGTAGGACACAGGTGAGTCCACTGGGGGCCACCTGCACCCCACCCCTTACAAGGCTGCAGAGTAGAGGGCCCAGGACACAGGCGGAGTCCACTAGGAACTACCCACCCCTTACCCAGCTACAGGGCAGAGAAGGCTGGACATGGGCAGAGTCTACCTTCTCCTGGATGCAGGGTAGGGGACGCAGGGCCAGGTAGAGTGAGCCCGAGCACTGCTTCCATTCCTCTGACTTCTGTAGGAAGTCCTCAGGGCTTACCTGGGTGACACCCCAGATGCCTGTTAACCCTTAGCAGAATGTCATTAGATACTTGTGACCCTATGCCTCAGTAGGGAATGTGGCTTTGTGACCCCAGGGTGGAGCAGAAGTCTTGATGAGCAGAGGAGGGTTGAGACAGGACCTAGCAGCTGCTTTGCTGCAGGCAGAGGACAAGGAGGTGGGATGCAGAGAGGGACTGGCACCTCCACTCTGTGCTGTTAAACTCGGTTGTCCCCACCTTTCCATGGATAGGGTGTTTCCTGTAACCACCTTGGACTTTGGCCTACCTGCCTTCCCATCCCCTTCCCTTTTCCCTTCTTCCTCTCCCTTCTCTCCTCCCCTCTCCCCTCCCTCCTTCCCTTCCTTCTTTAATTTTTTTTGAGACAGGGTCTCCTTATATAGTGCAGATTGGCCTTGAACTTGCCTATGTAGCCCAGGTGATCCTCCTGCCTCACCCTCCTGAGTTCTGGGCATGTGCCCAGAATAATCTCCTGATTATAGGCATGTGCCACCACACCTGGATGTCTCTTTTTCTTTTCTTTTCTTTTCTTTCTTTCCTTCCTTCCTTCTTTTCTTTCTTTTTCTTTTTCTTTTTCTTTCTTTTCTTTCTTTCTTTCTTTCTTTCTTTCTTTCTTTCTTTCTTTCTTTCTTTCT